TGTGTGGCGGGCGCGGGGGTGGGGGGTGGTGTCCGGGTGGTGCTGCAGCGCCGGGGGAGGAGGGAACGGTGCATTTAACCGGATCCGCAGGAGATCAGCGACAGAATAGTGGAGTAATGGAGTAATCCTGCCACTGGATAATGGCAGAAAGACAGGAGATCCCGGGAGAGGGCAAACCGGGGAGGCTGCAGTGTCACAAGGCGAGGAAAGAGAGCCGGAATCGAAGTAGCCGGCCTGCATTTGCTACCGGCGTTAGCCCGAGCACTTGCAAACAAAAGTGCTGGAGTTACAGCAGGATATATTAGGACAATGGAACCGATTAGGTGTAGCACAATTCCATGAAAGCAAGTCGGTAGTGATGGTGTGAAAGCCGAGAAAACACTAAGAAGGAGGGGAATGAGCTCAAACGGCCGGAGAGCAGCGGCAACATGCATGCCAGCGTCCGCTCTCAGTCCCTTAGACTTAGACTCTGTGTGTGTATATATAAGTATGCGTGTATATGTGTATATATGTACATATATACATGTATGTATATATGTACATATATACATGTATGTATTTTTACATATATACATATACACTCACCGGCCACTTTATTAGGTACACCTGTCCAACTGCTCGTTAACACTTAATTTCTAATCAGCCAATCACATGGCGGCAACTCAGTGCATTTAGGCATGCAGACATGGTCAAGACAATCTCCTGCAGTTCAAACCGAGCATCAGTATGGGGAAGAAAGGTGATTTGAGTGACTTTGAACGTGGCATGGTTGTTGGTGCCAGAAGGGCTGGTCTGAGTATTTCAGAAACTGCTGATCTACTGGGATTTTCACGCACAACCATCTCTAGGGTTTACAGAGAATGGTCCGAAAAAGAAAAAATATCCAGTGAGCGGCAGTTCTGTGGGCGGAAATGCCTTGTTGATGCCAGAGGTCAGAGGAGAATGGCCAGACTGGTTCGAGCTGATAGAAAGGCAACAGTGACTCAAATAACCACCCGTTACAACCAAGGTAGGCAGAAGAGCATCTCTGAACGCACAGTACGTCCAACTTTGAGGCAGATGGGCTACAGCAGCAGAAGACCACACCGGGTGCCACTCCTTTCAGCTAAGAACAGGAAACTGAGGCTACAATTTGCACAAGCTCATCGAAATTGGACAATAGAAGATTGGAAAAACGTTGCCTGGTCTGATGAGTCTCGATTTCTGCTGCGACATTCGGATGGTAGGCTCAGAATTTGGCGTTCGACAACATGAAAGCATGGATCCATCCTGCCTTGTATCAACGGTTCAGGCTGGTGGTGGTGGTGTAATGGTGTGGGGAATATTTTCTTGGCACTCTTTGGGCCCCTTGGTACCAATTGAGCATCGTTGCAATGCCACAGCCTACCTGAGTATTGTTGCTGACCATGTCCATCCCTTTATGACCACAATGTACCCAACGCTTTAAATGAATTGTCACTTAAACTATACACTCTAATGTAGCATAAGTATAAAAATGTGTGTTATTCTGTAGATTGACCAAGATGATGTTTGGATTTTTGACAAAATGGCCTACTTTATTCAAACCTAGGATCCTGACAGACTGCAAAATACGGACCTCAAATCAGCACTTGGTCTCTTGTCTGTGCAGCACGACTCAGGTTGGTGTGGTTTGCTTTGTTCATTGTACATGTTCATGTATTTTTAAAAATGTCTCAATTGTTTACGATGCGTGGCGCTTTGGCCCAGAGGCAATGTCTCTGTCATTGGTGTGGAACCCCAGGGTTCACCTCCTGGACAAGTTCGAATCCCGGTTAGGGCGGTTAATACCTTCCAGTGGACTCACCACCCGCAGGAAGGTTTGAGGGGTTGTTATGGTGCAATGTGATTTGGGTGGCGACTGCTGCCCCCGCGACCCGGTAACGGATAAGCGGATGAAAATGGATGGATGGATGGATGGATGGACATATATATGTATATATATGTGTATATATGTTTGTGTGTGTATATATACAGACTGTGACTCTAACTTTCTCAGTGACTAGGGCTGTTGTCAAAGCCAACTTTTTAGTTCCAACATTTATTTGTCACGGCCCGTTCTGCTCAGGCCGACTGCGTGTCACCTGTTTAATGCGGTCCCAGTTGGACTTGGCCAGGTTAAAGCTGCAGGTGGTGGCTCCAGACTGGTACCCCACCACGCAGACTTTGGTCACGGGGGAGAAGCCCTCAGCTCGAGCCGTCACTCGGTACTCCCCTGGGTTCAACAGCCTCCAGAAGTCCCCAGTTGAAGCTGCAGCGTGAGGAGGAGGAGACACACATTTGGTTTTCAAAATAAAAGCAACAACGTCAACCTGATCAGACTAGGGAAGAGGACGAGTGCCAGTCTTTCACCTGTGGTGACGTCGTGATTTACCCCTTCGACCGACACTGTGGCATTTGCGATGGGGTTCCCCTGCTGGTCCTTCACGATGCCCCTGATGCCACGGTGCACCTAGGCAAAGCAGGTGGAACCTTGAGTCGGTCTGACTAACAGATGCATCGCAAATCCGACATCTTTGACGTCGGAACGTCTGTCTCGGAACTCTAGTACAGTTCGTTAGATCGATACCGTCACGTGACCTGTGAGTATATATGTGTGTGTGTGTAACCGACCTGCTCCATGAAGATGAGCATGGCCTCCCGGTTCCTCTCCCACTCCTGCGCCAACTCGCTCTCATGAGGGAACTTGTCGCAGCCCAGGAATACGGAGAGTTCAAAACAGTTGGTGTGCAGGTAGCTGAAGTCGTTCATACCTGGGGAAACACGAGGCACGCACAAACGTGGGCTCAGGAGGTGCAGTACACGCATTGTCCACCAGGGGTGGTGTTAACCCATGCAACTGATTCAACATTTCCTTCACTCAGCCTGTCACTGGCTTCCACTTGGCGCGGTTGACGATGCCGTGCCCCGCGCCCGAAATGTCTCCGTGGCAGGAGCCGTGGAAGTTGCGCGTCATGGACATGTGTGTGAACGCGTAGGACACGGCCAGCCACCTGAAGAGGGACTCGTCCGCGACAGCCCGAGGTTTGTCGGGTTCCGAGTACTGATACCCGGCGCTTCTTCCTCTGTCGTCTTCGTCTTCCTCCCTGTGGCCGTAACCTTCGCTGTGACCCTGGTTGTAAGTATGGTCGTAGCCACGATCATCGTAGCCATGGTTGTAGCCGCCGCCGCCGCCACCGTCGTAGCCGCGGCCGGA